ATCGCATTTCCGCGCGCATTGTTTGTCCGCGCCAAATATACCCTTTTCGGGTATCGGCAAATGTGCGGCAAAGACCCATCGAGAGAGATGGTAACTAGGCATACAGCTGGGGGCAGAGTATAATGATTTACAGCCCTTAGTCTAGTTGTAGAATATACATTTCATGCATCCTCTGAAGCCTTTCGAGCCCTCTCGGGGCATCTGCGAGTCCCTGCCCAACAAATGGTCCCGCGAGAGGCCTTCCGGACCTACCCGAAAAGGGTATATTTGGCGCGGACAAACAACGCGCGCGGAAATGCGATGTTCAGTTTCTTATAGGCTCGTGACCACCCTGTCGTACCGCTATTGAGGGCAGAATATCGGTAGACAGGCTGGTACATTTGGCGTGGGAATCCAGTATACGCGTCGTTAACTCTAATTCGCCGACCGGCTGCTTACATTTTGGCAGCTGAGTTTGTCTGAGTTGAATTTTCGCCCTGCCCTCAAGTTGATCGGAATCTGACTAGAAAGAGTTTTGTAGTCCGCAAGATCTCGAGACTTAGCGCGTCCCAGAGACGAATTCCTGCAGCCTTCCCGTGCCGTACAACTCACCGCCACACAGACATGTAAAACATCACAGACCTATCACTGCGGAGGAAAGTTTCTCTTGCCATGATAGCTGCGGCAGGAAATCATCGGAGAGCGCGGGTAGACCCTTCGGTAAGGTATAAGTAATATACAAAAAAATAAGTCCGTAGTTCGTTTTCCAAGGTCCCGAAGGTAGACATCTATGGCATTAATCTTGTCCGTGATTATAGGAGCATATTATATCCAAACATCAAACGAGCGTCGGACGAGGGAGCAGCGAGGAGCGAGAGACTTCGCAGCCGGCGCGACTTGTAGTCTGACTACAACATTTCTAATGACACTATAAAGCTGGTTGTATTAGACTACCAGGGTTCTTACTCGACTACGAAAGGCGCATTCGGCAGACTTCGGCAGGGTTCGGCGGCTGCGGCAGGAAGATAACGACGCGTATACTGGATTCCCACGCCAAATGCACCAGCCTCTACAACATAGATTCTGCCTCAATCTGTTGTAGAGGGTGGTTACGAGCCTAAGTTTCTTATGCAAGGCACTGTATCTGCCAGCAGACCCTTCTGCTCAATCGAGCGCGGATGCTTCGTCCGGCTCCGAATCTTGAAAACTTGAATGCCACCAGTGTTGTTGATTCAGACTGCCTGGCATATGCATACGACAATGATGTTCAGAATTCCTATCACATGTACTGGGTGCGGACTCGTGATCCTTGAGGATGGCTTAGTGCTAGTCTGACGTGGAGAGCATATTTATGCAGGGTATTATTGACTCCCTCACCTTCATAACTGACGTACACGTTCTACTGCAGTCCAACCGCTGCAAACGAACTTGAACCTTCGGATCCTGTACAACCCACGTAACTGTAGTACACACGCTCGAGAGCCCTGCTGAGACAGGCAAGACCAATGACTTCCGATTTCTAAGATATCCGCGCAGTCCAGGAACCCCTTGAAACATGTTCTCATTCGTCCCTAAAGTACATGTAAATGTGGCTATGATGCTACGTGTGGTACAAATGCTCTCTAATGCGATTTGAAGGGTTCCAATATTTACACGACGAAGCCCTGTAAGGTGATATCATCAGCGTCAGACATACGACAACGCAGCGAGTCGGAAGGCTTACGCCGTTAACCAGGATGTTCTGGCCGTTTATCCATCCAGCCTCCTCCGAGGACAGGAATGCCACGATCGGAGCGATTTCATCGGGCTGGCCGAGACGCTTCTGAGGGTTCAGATTAGCGATGAATTGGATCTGCTGCTCCGTCTTGCCGTCGCGGAAGAGCGGCGTGTCGACGGGGCCAGGGGAGACGGTGTTGACCGTGATGCCGCGAGCCCCGAGATCCTTTGCCAGGACTCGGGAGACTTGCTCGACAGCACCCTTCGAGGCGACGTAAACAAGGGCGTTCGGGAGAACGGCGGAGGCTTTGGTGAGGGTTGTGGAGAAGAAGATGACACGGCCACCTGGAACATATCAGATAAGCATGGAGATCCGGCTTGAGGTTATATATACCAATCAACCTACCTGCAGTTAAGCTGGGTGCCGCTAACTTGGTGAGGAAGAGCGGGCCTTTGACGTTAATATTGATGTGATCGTCAAAGTCCTTCTCCTCCGTCTGTGCCAACACCTTCGCGCCCATGATACCGGCATTGAGCACCAGGATGTCAAGCTTGCCAAACTTCTGGAGGGTCTCATCTAGGAGGGTCTTCGCGCCAGCGATCGAGGAGACATCGGCCTTGACACTGATGGCCTTGCCAGGCCCCTTCGAGTTGATCTCGTTCACTACTTCATCTGCCGCCGCGGAGTTGGAGACGTAGTTGACAACGACGCTGGCCCCGTCTTTGCCCAAACGTTTGGCAATCGAGGCGCCAATCGAACGGGATGATCCAGTGACGATAGCGACGCGGCCGGCGAGAGACATTTCAGTGATTTGTGGATGAACGGGGGCGGCGATGAAGAGTAAGAGCAACTGCACTGATCTCCCCGGGTCAGAGCCATCGATATTATATATACTGCGGAAGATCGCCGGATGAGTAGTACGTAGAGGAAGAAGAGTACCGATGTGGGTCGAATTGCGCGTCCAAGTCGGTCACGGAGATGACGAGTGGCAGACGAACGTCCGATACAGCATCGGACAGACTGTTTGCCACGCCTTCGCTCCGTCTGTTGATCCCGACCATCATCTTCAAACTCCCCGTCGTCCCCGACACTCGCCGCGGTCGCCAGTGCCTCTCCACCGCGAAATACAATTCTGACTGTCAGAGATGGGTCACGCGGGGCGCTTTCGGACATCGCTGTGGGTGGCGAACGCAGGGTCACATCCACTTTGCTGGTCCGGTGCGGGCGCTCGGTTACCACTACCGAGGTCTGTAACAAGGTCTACGATGTCCTCTCTGATAATTCCCAATGACCCTGTTTCTCGATGATCGAGGAAGGCGATGTATCTCAACGTTAACTGAGTACAGGTTCCTTTCCAAATCATGGATTACGGGGTCGGATCGTCAATGGCATTGTCTGTACGAGTGTCCGTAGTTCGTGCTCGTTCCCTCCTCCGCCGCGCACAGTCGTCATTAATGGGCTCATAGACCTGATAGGCGTGCCAGCCTTTGACGGATTCTTTCCTTGCCACAGTCGTACCTCAAAAGCCAATACATAGTTGCGTAAAAAATACCACCGATGCGAGACGTCATGTCAACCCACATCTGCAGATGGTCCCCTTTCAGGGGTCCGAACGTGCATCAGGTACATATGGAGTGAAGCATCGGCACCGCCTGCTGTACGATGGTTCTGTAGAGGTTGATGCGCCAGGTACGGCAGGGTACGGCAGGCAGATCCGCTAGAGTTGCTCTGTCGCTACGCCCAACCTGGACCGTTCGGGTTCTCATGCCAGGGCTGTTAGGTGTCGCAACCCACGACTTAGCCGCTAAGTTCCGCCACGTTCCATCTCCTCGACAAATGCAGAGGAGAAGTATAAGTATGTTGCATTCCCCCGGATGAAGGCATCGGCTCCGCGTCCTCCCTTCACCGGGCTTGGGTTGACATATAGAAGTCACCTTTTCAACATAGCAACATTTCGAGAAGAGAGTCGAAGACATGCGCTTCTCCACTCTTGCTTCCGCTGCAGCGGCCAGCGTTCCTGCTGCACTGTTCGCTCATGCAGCTGCAGCAGGTCATTACGACTACGTTATAGTAGGAGGTATAGTGTGTCTCTATCTTGACTGTGGCGGAAACCCTGATCACTATCCACCTCAGGTGGCAATTCCGGTCTTGTGGTCGCCGAGCGTCTTACAGAGAACTCTGGCGTATCGGTCCTTGTCCTCGAGGCAGGGAACGACTATGATATTGACTTCAATGTAACGTGCGTGTCATATATCCGGACTATCTAAGGTTGTAGCGCGTTAATGGGATGTATTGGTAGTGTCCCCGGTCTTGACTTGACTGTGACGGGTGGTTCCATTGTGGACTGGAATTACACTACGGCACCCCAGGTGAACCTGGCTAACCGACAAGTACCCTACCCCCGAGGTTACATTCTTGGCGGATCTACGTACGTACTTCATTTGCACATCCTACTTGAATTGCGTATTGAAAACTGGATAGGTCGACGAACTTCATGGCCTACACTCGTGGTGCCGCAGCCCCTTACGACCAGTGGGCTGCCATCGGAAACGAGGGTTGGGATTGGAACAGTGTCCTTCCTTATTTCAAGAAGGTTCGTGGTTTGCTCTTTTCCCATTTCGTCTTTGGCCGAGACTCACATACGGACATGAAATAGAGCATCCAGTTTACACCGCCTGAGGCCAACCAGTCATACATCCCTTACGACGCTTCCCAATACGCTGGCGAGGGTCCCCTGCAGGTTTCTTTCGGTCACTACATCGAGCCTATTTCCATCTATTTCGCCACGGCATTAACGAACAAGACCGGTCCTAATCTGACGATGAAGGAGACTAACGATGGCTCACCCATCGGTGTCGGCTACCTTGCGACGACCATCAACCCGAAGAATGCAAACCGTGACTCATCGTGGACAAGTTTCGGTCTCACGGCATCGAGCAGGTCGAACTTCCATGTTCAGACTCATACCCTGGCGACGAGGATTTTGTTTGAAAACTCCTCGTCCGGGGATTTGGTTGCGAATGGAGTCGAGTACCGGGACAACAGCGGCGCGATTCAGGTTGCCTACGCCGACAAGGAGGTTATCCTGACTGCCGGTGCGTTCGGCTCGCCGCAGCTGTTGATGGTCTCAGGGATCGGGCCCGCGTCGCAGCTGCAAGGCAATGGCATTGACGTTAAGGTCGATCTCCCGGGCGTCGGACAGAACCTACTCGACCATCTGTTCTTCGGACCCGTCTACGAGGTCATCGACAACATCACTACGGCCAACCAGTTCAACGCCAACGCCAGCCTGTACGCCGAGTACTTGCGCGAGTGGAAGACTGAGGGTGAGGGCGAGCTCGCAGGTGCTATTTCCAGCATGAGCGCCTGGGAGCGTGTACCCGATGATGTCTTGGATTCGATTGGTGCTCAGGAGTTGAAGAATCTCCGATCTGACTGGAACCACATCCAGCTGGAAGTCATCGTACGTATCCCCTTTTGATCCGCGTCCATCATCTTCCTGACCCATACATGCTTCAGGCCTCCGGCTCCGTTCCCAGTGGCAAGGCCGGCAACTATGTGAGCCCTGCCGCAGTCATCTCGTACCCCTTCTCCAAAGGCAATGTCACTATTGTGTCAAACTCTACCACGGTGAAACCAATCGTCCAGCCCAACTGGCTTTCGTCCGAGATTGACCAGAAGGTGGCTATCTGGGCTTTCCGTCAAGTCCGCGAGGTGATGCTCTCGGAGACGATGGCCCCCATTGTCCTCGGCGAGGCATATCCCGGTCTGGACAAGACCTCCGACGAGGACATCCTTGCTGCCATCCAAGCGGTCGCACACCCGATCTACCAAGCTTCCGGTACTTGCGCCATGAAGGCCCAATCTGACGGCGGCGTCGTTAACTCGAAGTTGGTTGTGTATGGTACGAAGAACGTTCGGGTTGCTGATGCCAGCATTTTCCCCATCATCACCTCTGCGAACACGATGGCCCCGGTGTACATGGTCGCTGAGAAGGCAGCTGACTTGATCAAGGCTGATCAGTGAGTGGCTGTCGGGGCTGTCATGATTTAACTATTTATTCGGGGTCGCATTTCGGACATCTATCACCATCATTCATTACCTCTTACATCGATATCATTATTATTATAGCAGTAGTATTGTATATACAGGTTTGCATGTCGTAGCTATTGCCCATTCAATCCCATATTCAAAACTGTAATCCAGTCTACGCCGTGGTCGCGGGACACTGGTACAAACAGCGCAACGATGTCATGTATTTAGGTTCGTAACCTAACATCTACATACAAAGATCCAGGAAGAATGAATGTTGTAGTACATCACACATGGATCGCTAACTTCGAATTGGACTTGAATTGAACACCTGCACACTGCCAGAGATGGTCCGTGCGCCACCAGATAGTATAAAGAGCTGGACGAGTACGATATGATTCTTCATACTTACCTTGCGAGCGTGTCCCCTTTCACATATCCGGGGACACGGGCTATGGGTGCTCTCCATAGCACGGCGACCTTGTCCGCAGAGGGTGCCTGTGGTTTGTATGGGCTCCGGCTCATGCACTCGCGCAATATTTCCCTGTCCTGCTTCGGCCCTCGGGCTGGGCAGGCCTTTTCCTTTGCCAATTCTCCTTCCTAACCCTAACCTTGCCACAATTCCCCTCGGCGAGCTCGCTCGCGGCACACTCTAGATCTGTCCGACGTCATTATCGATTACTGTATTAATCATTACAACTTTGTATTCCTCCCGCTAGCAGGTCACGCATAGTGAGGCTTCCCGCAGTGAACCCGTCACGGAATAAATATTGTAGCAAGACGTCTGTCCATGAATGTCCTCTAACAATTGTTTGTCCGCATAGCGCAAAGATCCTCATCAGGTATGGTTCAGGCAATGTAACAAGCGAAACGCTTTGAATTGGGAGTCCAGCCGACTGAGCGAATGTGGCTTTAGTGACACTTGGGAACAGATGAGTGAAAATGCTCACCACACTGCCAGCAATCCAGGAGGCGGTCAGGATCGCTGTCGCCATGCTGGTCAATCGGAGTTCATCTCATTCAAGGTATCGAGGACTCACTATTTATCTTTGATTTCAAGCAGCCTGGAGTAGTTGTCTCCCCAGAATGCGACTGCGAAACTATACTCAGGGAGTGTATCCTATTTCTGGCACTGATCAGACTCACCCTTATGATTAGGTTCGTACACATCCGCCTCGTTCTGCAAACAGTACATGAACTTTAGGTGTCAGAATGGCAGAGAGCTGGTATTGGACATACGCTATACGCCGCGTCCGGGGTTATAGCACGCAGATGCGATATAGAATCGCTTGCCAATTTATACTGAGTCTTTTTCTCTCCCATTGTCGCGTTCCAGTCCCATGTTGTAATGAGCGTGATATGATACACCGAGTCTCTCCATGCAGGTGTGACGCTGGTACTGCCGTCCCCTGGGCAGGACGTGGGAGGGCTCACAAGGAAACGAAGGCCGGGAGTAAGCGTGTGGGCTTTCAAAAGGGCTGCAAGGAGCTCTGAACGACTCGCAGCCGTTTCGAAGTTGGCCTTTGGGATGAGCCGTGAAGCAAGAGCAAGATTAACGCCGATTGCCTGTAACGGTATTCAGTCGACTCAGCCCTTATCGTGAACGAAGAACGTACCGCTGAATTGTCGCCTGCAAAAGCATTGAAGAATGTACCCCAAGTGGGAAATTCAAGCACCGTAAGGGTGGCTCCATGGATACCATCGTGCTTGATCCGCTCGCCGAATGCGATGAGCGGTGCCATAGACACGTTTGCTCGCACTGTATCCAAATTTGGAGATATGTATATGGCAGATTCGCCATTTGCAAACCCTCCCCATCCTTCATCGGCCCACTTAAGACCATTTTCAATGAGAATTGACCACAGATCGTGTGTGAGACTGGCTTCAGGGTTAGTCCACTGCACAACATAGACCTGCAGAGTGACAGGCGGGGAAGCTAGAGTGGTGCTCTCCAATACTACGCCAAAGGTTCCGCCTCCACCTTCACTGTTGATTAGGATAGTCCGCAATCAAATATACTTTGGCTTACCGCCCCGCAGCGCGAAGAACAAGTCTTCATTCTGACAAGCGTTTGCGACTCTCAATTTGCCGTCTGGGGTGACTACTTTGAACTGGAGCTGGAGACGGAATCTCAGTCCACTTCCATACCGATATTTCCAGAGGCAACCTACGACGCGATCGACACCCATTCCCATCGTATTTGTCAGCGCACCATGACCACCGCCCTGTCCAGAGAATTTGAGCGTCAGTTCGCCGGCGATCTGGTGGACGTACCATCAGCCATCCACCGGATGTGCCTACGCCGGGATCACTGCCTATCCATGTACGTTAACAGACATTGTTTATGCTATCGTGATGAACCCTTACCTCCCACGAGGGTAATGTTGTGAGCTTCTGCGAATTGGTAGGCCTCTCCCCATTGCACGCCGGCCTGGGAGACTCTTGGAACGGTGCTCGTTTCCACCAGAACGCAAGACTCACCCCCATAGTAACACCGGGGCTCGCTTTCACACATCCTTCAGGAATGAACTCGGGGTCGTATGTTATCTGACCGTCGTAAATGAGTAAGTTCGCATCCATATGGGGCTTCGCGTTGACCTACGTCTTTTAGATTATGCGTCTAGACGTGGCATCTAGGTGAATTGACTGAATATAATTGCACCGAAGATAACTCTTACCCAGAGGCCTATTGAACCGGGCGCGCTACTGCGACCTTTGTAGTCATGCTGAAGGGACTGTCAGAATACTAGCATAGTATCGGTTAAGAGGCACGTACACCAGTGTTCTTGACGATTAACGGCACACCAGATCTTCTCGAGTAATCGAAGGCAGCAGCGACATCCGCCGGCTTTCGCACGTCAATCTAAGGCGGTCAGTTAGGGGATGGAATCATCTTATGTAGTGACAGGTCTGCACAAAGTGACGAGATACACTGCCCAACTGACAGGTCTGGGAAGATGAAACCGGACCTGGGTTTGTTGGGTCTTCCCAGTCCAGGAGGCATTGCTCGCCCGTCGTCTGGCACGTCTCCCACTGCGTATTGATATAACCACCAAACGTATCGAATCGCGAAGCTGTACACGCATTGTCGGAATTATCGGAGCAGACCAGAAGTGTGCAACATACTTTCGTTCAGGTAGTTGCGCTTGATGACCTCGCAATCTGCGGATTTGAAGCTAGTGAAACAGGGTTCCGCGAAAGCAACAGCGCTATATAGTCGACCTTCGACTTTTTCGGAGAGTTCTCTCAGAAGGTCTGAAGTCAGCGGGAACTGCGTTGGCGCCGTGGTAGCAAAGGCGCCTTCGAGAAATAGGCAGCTGGCGAGTGCTGCTAAGCCAAACATTGTTGGATAGTCTTGCCTTTAGCAACACATGCGTGTGGTCCTTATAATTGCGAACCGGAAGTAATTTCCGGCGTTTTCGCAGCCACTGCAACAGTGCGCGATCATCATTGTTAAGGCACCTTGTACTCGTGGTAGTATCATTACCCCCTACATTGTGGGATGCAGCGCAGTACTTGATCACACGTCGCAGCTCTGACTTCGTTTGACTCAACCTGCCTAGTTGGGTAGAATTCCGCAACCTTGATCAACCCGGAAGCATCTGAAACCAACGAAGGGGGCGATGACTTTCTCGATTATACGGTGAACGTACTATACACACCTGCCTAACATAGAACGAGGCGATATGACGCGGAGCCGAGAAAAGCCGCTGTCTTGTACTTGTGTCTCCTGCTCTTCACAACGGCGTTTACATCCATCTCTGGAAGATATCACCGTTGAACGGGAGCGTGCGGAGGCGTCAGATTGCGTCGGAACAAGTTTCGCAAGCAGGCCCAGAGTAGGCAATGAAGCAGTACTGCAGAGCATGGTAAGTACCGGATGAAATACTGTATTACATAATTGCTCGCTTCGCTCGCAATTCTTCACTAGGGCAGAAGTCCGCGACAAACATGTACAAATTCTACTCCCGGTGGCTGAGGGACCCACAAAGACCAAGGGCCAGCTATAAGTTGATACAGAGCTTTAAATATCCTCGGATTGAGCCTGGAAAGGTTCCAGAATCAATGATACCTATTTACTTGCCCTACCTATCACAAAACATGCCACGAAATACAGTAAGTTGAGCCGTATGCATGCAAGGTTGGTGTGTATGGTGCACCAGCTGTGCCACATAACAGGACAACGTGTCGCGCCACACCACGTTACGCTTCGCGAGCAACTCTGCGCGAGCGCGCATTACTAGTACATACCATTACCATGTGAAGTAAAATAGAGCCCAAAAGTTGGACAAGTAGGGGTTCGAACCCTAGACCTCACGCACCAAGAATTACATCATTTAACTGTGTAAATCATGCAAAGCGTGCGCGCTACCACTGTGCCACATGCCCTTGATAAGGGAAGCTCAACACTCATATATGAGAATCCTATACCGGTAATTGCCGGACACTCTTCCCCTGCACTTCTTGTACACCTTTCTCGCTGGCCATAACCTTTGGCTGCGTATCCTCCGCATGAGTCTTTCATCGTTCCTTCTGACTGAGGGTCAAACTGTTAAGGAGTTCAGTCAGGCAGCACAGATCGACAAGGACCTGGATGCGATATTCCGTTCATGTGTGAGTGCTTTGGATCCCTACTAGTATGGTCTTGTTGGTTTTCTGACTGTCGGACACAAGAAGTCAACCCGTCTAATGGACATACCCTTGGCATCCCATGGAAAGGGTGAAGGCAAAAGATCGCTCGAGGGTCCTGAGCTGGCTAGCCCCAGGAAAAAGGGCAGGCATCTCGGGAAGAACAACGCAGACGCTTCCGCTCATGGTCCATCCACCCTTGCATCCAAAGCTATGAAGGTCCTTGACCAAACCGTGGGGCTCGCGAAACCAGTCATGAGCTCGGAAAGCTGCGATGATTCGGAGGCTCCCAGGCCCCTGGATAAACGTTCGGACGGAACGGAACGTGATGACTTTGGAGATTCTGATACCGACAGCCACGATCATGCATCTCGCCTTGTTCACGAGTCTCTGAAGGGGGGAGGAGAAGGGAGAAGGTGGAGCACTCGTGGCCAGAAGCATAAATACGTCCCGGAAGATGAGACTCCCGATGCCAAAGACGCACGAACTATCTTCGTAGGGAATGTAACTGCAGACGTCGTAAAGAGTCGAGTGAGCGCTCCTCACAATGTACAACGTCTAATGGTTCTGATCTCGTTGTTGTGCAGCCACTCATGAAGCAACTGAAACGACATATTCTGGGCTTCGTGCCCGGAGCAAGGATCGAGTCTACTCGTTGCAGGTCAGTCGCTTTCCAGGCACCGACTAGCAAGCTGCCCGCTTTCGATGTCGAAGACGCAGTCGGTGGGAAGGGCAAAGGCAAACAAGAGGGCCAAAAGCAAGTAAGACAACACGAGGTCCAGCGCGCGTCATTGTGGCGAGACTCTAAAGCTTCGAAAGAAGAGGACGAGATCACTAAAGACGAGAAAAAGTATCTAACGCCTCAGGAGAAGAAGAAAATAGCTTTCATCCACCGCGACCTGCACCCGGGTGTGGATACTGTGAATGTCTATGTCGTCTTCGCGTACCCAACCCCTCGCGCCAAAGCAGCTGAAACGATGGATCCCTTCGAGGCTGCCCGCCTGTCTGTGCAGCGTTGTAATGGGTCGGTATTCTCTGGACATACTCTTAGGGTTGATCGGGTTGGGAAAGCAAAGACAACGAATACAGGGGATAGCGCTGCAGAAGATCCAAAGACCACTCTTTTCGTCGGGAACCTCGATTTTGCTTGCAAGGAGGACGATTTGCGTGCATTTTTCGAGGCTCTCATGATCTCAGAACGGGGAGCTCCCGCCTCAGATGTTGCTGATGTTCCCGAAGAGCTTGTCGGTAAATCGAATGCCTGGGTAACACGGATCCGGATTATAAGGGATAAAGATACGCAACTTGGCAAAGGCTTCGCGTACGTTCAATTTGCAGTGCGTTCCTTTTCTTTTCTCTAGCGTACTCTCTGAAGGTGGACGTCCCTCTAGGATCGCACATGCGTAGACGAAATCCTGGGGCTAGATGAAACCAAACTCAAATTCGCTAAGAGAAAGCTGCGTGTTCAGCGCTGTAAAACGTCGCTAGCCAGTCATCAGCTCGTTGCTGGGTATTCAGCACGACGTGTGGGCGGTGGCAAGTCCTCTGAAACTCAGGCCCGCTCAGGTGGGATGGGTCAACGCTCCAATCTGGTACCAGCTGTTCCCAAGGGTAACCCAGCCCTTGGAGAGAAAATTGCACACCTTCCGAAGGAAGCCAGGAAGCAGGCCAAAGCATCTGATCCCGACAGGGTGGCTCGTAGGATGGCCAAGAAGAAAGCTCGCATGGCTCTAATTAACAAAGGAACCAAGCCACAGGCCACAGAGCGGGAACGTATTCGAAAGCGCCCCAAGGCGAAACCAGGGTCCGACGCTGGAAAGGAGTCCAAGAAGAGAAGGGTGAGAAGTGATAAGAGTATACTTAACAAAAATATGAAAAAGTAGATCACTCCGCTTATTTCCCTTATGTCTGAGATGCCTTGCAGCATCTGAAATCGGCTGCTCTCAAATGCGCTCGAGGGGTGAATAGCCAGGGTTATTGGTAACAATGCCGCCAACACCGCCCTCGTAGATCCCATCGATGTTGAGTTCCAGCGACGGTGATACCGCCATATTCTCCATCGCCCATAATGCAACAGCCACAGTGCTGTGCTAATAATCAACACTGGGATATCTAGCATGACATGCCACGCACTTTGTTCCCTTGTAGTTGAGGATACCTTCTTGCACGGGGAATTTTGTCTGGGGACTGCGAACGACAGTATATCAGAGTGCGTAGATGATGCAACGTTCAAAGCGAAACTTCACCCCAGATTAGCCACCCTCTTGCCCATCATCCATCCGTTCACATAGAGGTATACCCGGTACGGTTGAGTACTGTTGTCAAAGTTGAATGAGATAGGCACGTCATAACCGCTAGGTATGCTGAGATCGAAGGTGGTGACGAAGAAGCCAACTCCTGCTGTGCCATTCGGCAGACCTTCGGTCAGATCTCTGGTTGTCCAGGACGAGATGTCGTATCCAGGAAGATGCCACCCTTGGCGTTCACCGAATAGCCCACCCTCATTCATGACTCCCCGGACTTTGTCAGGATAGCTGCATGAGAACAACCCGTCAGTCCAGCAGAGCTAATATTCCCAGCGCCTGATCATATACGGACTTGGTATATCCACCGACTTTGCCTTGTACACGCCATTCGCTGAAGTTACCCGTGTTCAGCTGGAAGCCTCGAACGCCGCGAGGTGATTTCGAGGCGTCTGGTGTAGCTAGTTGATAATCAGTCATGGTGATCGCGTCCTATATATCTGTACCCACAGCCCGTCTCGTTAAGACCCATGTTGTCCTTCCATGGCAAATCAGCTGAGAACATAGAGAAGCGACTATAACGCACTTGTACAATAGTTATGACATTGTCCTGACCAGGCAACAGAGAACCAGGCGGGAAGTGAAACTTATCGTCGGTCTCTTCCAGGATGTGCCTGTCATTTGTGGAGCTAGTAATATGCAGTGAGACCGATCCAGGAGCTTAGTGACCTTATTGTACGCACTTGCCGTAAGAGGTATTTAGAAAGAAGTTGTTCACCCAGACGCTGGCAGCGAAAGCTGTCGTCGTAGTATGATATAAGTTTCCTCCTCAGATATGCTCAACTAATTATGTACCTTCTCCGCCATTGATTGATAGGTTTACTGACTGCTCATCGCCAGTGGCGTTGAAGTGCCCTCTCCACAGAACAATATTCTCGCAACTGACCAAACGTCAGAAACAGGCACTAGATCCGCCGATCAAACTACTTACTATTCATAATCGCACCCATAAAGTATCCTCCCGTCTCCATAATACGGAGGGAAGGGTATATTCGTTGTTCTGTGATCAGCGAGAGTCCAGTTTGTATCCGCAAAGCCTCTAATGATTTCGGGCAAGCTATCGGCATATTTCCAGTTCGTCAAGCTTGGTACGGTGATATGTGCAGCTGTTAGGGACATCCCCAGCTGACCAACAAATCCGCCCACGGATGACAAGGACGACGCGGCTTGTACATCCGCCAGAACAGGTACGCCGTTCCAAGTAACTTCTTCCAAGCCTGGAGGCGCAATGACGATAAGTCTAACGCCGGTCTCCAAATCACCCTGTAATGCCAGAGTGGGTCCTTCTATTGTCGCGTTTCGCACCAAGTAAGGACCGCCGACCAGGATGGACGTATTCGTCCCAAACTGCCAATAGTTGGAGAACTCGCCGCTTCCAGAAATAACAGGGGACCAGAACGACCCAGCAGTGACAGTGTCAGCAAATAGCACCAATTGCGTGCTCGAATCGTACACGGTCACAAGTCCGTTGAGACCTGGTAAGAAACTGATGGTAGTGTCCCGGCGGTTGTCGCACTGAATAGATATCGTGGGACCTGACGCCTTCATGTTGGGAATACCGGTGAAAGCTATAGACGCCTCATGCTCCTGGCTAGAGTCACCGTACAGGAACAGGACGTCACGGCCTCCAATGACGCCGGCGTACAAGACCTGAGCTGTGGAGTACAACATCCTAGAGGACCCGAACAGGTAATCAGTCACGACTACTTTGGATTCTCGACCACTGAGCGTGATATTTGATCCAGCCTGTGGCAATGTTAGAACGCCTGCCGACGTTTGCACATTCAGTTGGAACTCGGTCGTTGCCCTGTTCGAGTCAAGCGGTACGTGGATCAGCACTTGAACGGCGGAACAGGATGTAGCTAGCGTACGTTGAGCTTGAATTGGTCTGTCTCATGATGTAGAACCCGGCGCCACTATCGGGGTTCCTGAGGTAGACAGCGAAGGCGGCTGGGTTCGAGACTACAACAGCACCAGTACTGCTATTACCGATCCAGTCCGTCTTATAGAATTCGGAAGAGCTGCGCAGGAAGAGGCCTTGCCGCTTTAACTCGGCATACTTCTCCGTCAACGTACGGTTCTCCGCTATTGAGCTCCCATAATCATATGACGCTGCAACGAGTTATTCCATGAGTGTTCTATTCGATAGCGTTGTCAAGCTTACTGTAAACTCCGTGGTAGGGTAAGGCACCCCAAGAAGTTCCACTCGATATTTCGGTTTCGGTCAAGAGGAGCGCGAAGTGCAAGACTGAGTATACTCACCCGTATACCATATAGAAGTTCATCAGTTTCCCGTTCGACGCCCAAAGCGCCCGGTAGAATACCGACTCAAAGTCTGCTCCGGTCAAGACGCGGCACGCCTCGTACCCTGGGTTGGTTACATGAGCACTGAGCAACGATAAACGATAGCACCAGGAATGCACGTGTTCACACCTGGTGCAGTCGGTCCCCACGCGTCGAACGCACCACCTTGAAACTTGAAGATAGTGTAAGAGAGGGTCGGGAAAGATCAGGGAAAACGCCTACCTCAGGGAAGTACCATGGTTGCGATGGGTTGGTGTTTTCGTGATAGTCATGCCAATTTGTTGGAAGAGCGCTCCACACTTCTGGGTTGGAGCAATCGAATCCTTGTGGGTATGCATCCAGGCTTCATTAGTCGAAGGAAACATCAACCATGCTGGTCAGGAGGGCGAGCATATATCATATCGTACCCGTATATATCAACTGCACCCTGTCGTAAGGATGCAAGTCAGGCCCTTGATGGCAAACGAAGTGTGAGGGAAAGACTCACAGTACCATTGACGAAGTTTCTCCCCTCACCGGGATCGTTGTAAGTGAGAGGCACCACGATCGACGAGTTGTGGTAGTCGGCCTCCAGGTCCGCGAAATAGCCGGCACTACCAGGAAACCCGTACTGGGTGTATTCGTTGTCTAGAGTAAGAGTATTTGTGAACATATACCTTACTTCGGACACTCGACGGACATATAACCTACCTATTTGTACGGCTGTTTATGAGATCCGGACGTCAGGAGTGAGCTTCCGATACACTGAAGATCCCATTAGTTACCTATCACTGGTCCACCCTGAGTCACTTGATTCGCGGCGGTTTCGTTGATGATACCGTGTATGTAATCTTGCCAGGCTGCAGTGTAATCGCTAGCGTTGGTACGGAGCATACCAGCTACTTGCGAGGTCACCCAGTGCGCAATGCCTCCAGCCGTTGTTTCAGCATTGATATATGGGCCTTTCGGGGAGTTACTAATTTCACGGTACGATAAGACGCCGAATAATACCTGGACGCAAGACAATCCATACTCCCGCTTCCTTTGCGGCGTCGTACAGGGGCTGTAGAGCACGATAGTCATTGAAGTCGATTACTTCAGGAGATGGGTTAATCAGGCCCCAATGTGTGTAGACACTGATAGCATTCAACCCAGCCGCCTTCACCTTCTGGAGGATATCTGGCCATAGGCTCGGCACTGGCAAGCGGAAAGTGTGGAACTCCCCGGAGCTTATATCACAGCTCAGATACAGGCATAGAAGCGAATAAGACTCTCTCAACTATAAGAAGATCCTCTGGTTGTTGAGAACGAAACTGTAGTTGTCCCATTGCACTACGTCCGTGCGACCATTGTTGGTCAGGAGCAGCTGGCTATCGCTCATGGGCGCGATCTCAGAACGCGCGATCAACTCAGAATGGGCAGAGACGAGTAGGCCGTTCTTCCAAGAGGTGATATAATTGTTTGGGTACGAGAAAGCCAGAGCGGATAACAGACACGCGAGCGTGAACCACAGACCGCGACGCGTCGTCTTTGCAGCTGCTGCTTTGCTGGACACCAGAGCGTCGTCAGCATGGTCTAAGGGCCTATACTCTGTGGAGGGCATATCTAAGTCGAGGACGTCCCACAATGCCAGAAGGTGCTACTCACGACGAACCGTCCCCTGCTCATAAATACCCAAGCAATGCTTCTCTTCGCAGCCAAAATTATCAACGTACTCTGGACGGGACGCTTTACTGTCCATCGTGACTTGCACGGAAACCCGTTCAGCGCATGGAATATTGGAGAGACCGCTGTGAAACGAAGAAGACGCTGCGAAGGTGGCACCGGTCCGTACAGTACATGAACGAATCAAATGACGGTCCGCGTGTAACCACTGTAACAGAAGTCCCGCGTTGTGGCTCGTGCTGCCAGTTACTTACAGTCGACTCTCCCATAACCCATAGCGGTCCGTGGACCCAGAAAGGTATGGGTTTTCGGAGACTATGGGTTACCAGGACCCCCGATAATTGGTATAAATGCCTGATCAGGTTCCGGACAAATTTTGGGACTTTAGAGCCCTCAATGGCTGATTTTTTACAGACAAATCGGCCGATTCTGGAGAACAGGCTTGATTGGTTTCCGGACATTTTGGTCAAACTTGGCCATTTCGACGCCATATTTACCCCGGCACCTGCCGGGAGAGCTAAATTTAGACGTACCCACGCCACAGCTGCCTTTTAGAGCCACTTTTTCGCTGTGATGCCTGTTTTTTTCCGGACAAAAGGTCCAAAATCGGCGATTTTCTTCCGGACAAAATGGGTCTACTTATGGGTCCTCGGGATCAGGCATTTATACTGATTATCGGGGGTCCTGGGTTACCGGAGTGTGACATACTGTGACATTGGCGGGTAGCGTGATATGTGGCAGGGTGCGCGGCATATGCCGGATGGTCCACATCATGCTATATGTCGCCTGGTATGGGTGCCCACTGCCATAATGGTATAGTTTCTGGGTCGGAGTATCGAACAACTCCATAGAAAATGTTTTAAAAGTAGTAAATGGTGGTCGATATGGGTCTGATTGAGCTAATAATAGGATGATTTATGGACCCTCCAGAAAGGTATGGGTTATGGGGTATCAGAGAGTTATGGGTTGTCGCGACGATTAATTAGGAACCAAATCGGTGGACGCAAAAATGTATGGGTTATTAGAGGTTATGGGTCATTGGAGGTATGGGTTAAGGGAGAGTCGACTGTAGTACTATTGCTGGCTGAACCGGACCCGGATGTTGCGGTAACGCTTCCGCTTGCGGTTTGAGGTGCACTACCACTTAGATCCCGTCTACGGCTCTGTCGAGAGTGGCCATGAAAGAAATAGGTACGGTTCACTATGTGCTTGACCCGTCCAGAGGCGTACCCCGCCACTGGCACGCAGTCCCGGACGCGTACGGTGTCAGAAGTGGACCGAGGTAAACTAGAAGTGCCATTAAAATATAATACACTGCTGTTATACAAGACGATGGACAGAAGAAAAGCAAAATACGAAACCGGACCACAGGCAATGAGAGATGTCAATGAAAGGGGAACGGCAGACTCGAGACGCGGCGCAGTCCTATTTCTTCGTCTTCGCCTTCTTGGTTGCAACATCACCCTTCTTGTCCTCGATCTAACCAGTCATTATCAGC